AACACGCCCACAAACACCCACACACATTTAACTCATACACAACGCAGACAAATACCATGGCAACAACAAATAATAATAACAATAAATAATAATAATCATAAAAACAATAACAACAATAATAGCAATGAGTATTACATAATGCAAATATTATAGCCCACCAAATAATGATTGGCGTTTTATGCGCTGTGGGTGCATAAGATTTACGGGTTTTCCTTATGGTAAATCGATATAGAGAATAATAGAAATAAAAATAATAATATAAGAAGAAGAAAAATAATAGATACTGAGCAAGACATTTTTAAGAGATTATTTTACATAAACATTTTCCTTTCGAAATAATATTGAATGTGTTCGCTGTATATATATATATATATATATATATATAAACTTATATGTATATAATATATATATATATATATAAACTTATATATATATATATATATATATATATATATATATACATTTATTTATTCGTAATTTTTTCCTTCACTTACTATCCCTTTCTTTTTTTCTCTCTCTCTCTCTCTCTCTCTTTCTCTCTCTCTCTCTCTCTCTCGCTCTCCATTTTTTCTCACTCGTTTTGTCTTAGTTTTTTTTTCTATCTTCAATCATCTTCACTGTGATATCATCTTTGTCAAGATCGTTCTCACCATCACCATCATCATCGTCGTCATCATCGTCATCAGCGTCATCGTCATCATCGTCTTCATCCTTTTAAGAGAGGGAAACAGTGTCATTATAATTGACTACATCCTTCTGATGTTAATAACAATAACAACAATAAAAATCATCATCATCAGTGGCCACAAAACTACGACTAGCATACATACATACACACATTCATACATACAGACAAATCAACCAATCATGCATACATACATACAAAAAGACAAACATACAAACAAACATACATACAAACAGACAAACATACATACAAACATACTAATATACACGCATACATACACGATAACATACTCAAAAATTAGTTCTCTGCTTTTTTTTACCAAAACAAATCAGTCATTGAGAAATACAATATCATACATGATGAGTCAAACTCGAACAATCAATCAACCTATGTGTTTGTGTATGTATGCTTGTTTGTTTGTTTAATTGTAGGTATGTATGTGTGTATGTTTGTGTGTGTGTATGTTTGTATGTATGTATATTTGTTTGTTTGTTTGTATGTATGTATGTACGTTTGTTTGTTTGTATATGTAAATGTGTGAATGTTTGTGTTTATAGGTGTTTATTTTATATCCTGTTATAAATCAGCTAAGTGTGACTAATTATGCTAATTTTGAGAATGCAATATTTCAAATTTCAAATTCTAAGCATACAAACATACGTACACACAAACAAACCTACATACCTGGATACATAAATAACCATGCATAAACACATAAGCAGTGGAAACAACAGACACACAAACCCACGCAAAAAACCCTCACACGCACACAGACACACACACACACACACATATTATTCTTAGAAACGTACTACAACGAGCAAACAGATGATATTTATTTAAACTTGAAAAGATTTTTTTAGTATCCAGAGATTGGATTTACTCACACACACACACACACACACATACATATATATATATATATATATATATATATATATATATATAATGTATACACACATACATACATAAACACATACACTTTGTGTAGAAACATTTACACTATATATACTAATAGACAAAAATATTGACTGGCAAACAAACAACTCGACACAGACACAGACAGACAAAAAGGTAGACAGACAAACAGACAGACATACGGACAGACATATAGACAAACTTAATAACAAATCCGTCTCAACACATGCGTTTCCTCCTTACCTACAGAACGATTAAATTTGAATTCATAATAAGGTGACTAAAAGGTCGTTCCTATCATTAACTAGCGGACATTGTGTGCTTGTGAGAGAGAGAAAGAAAGTAAAAAAAGAATAAGGGAGAGAGAGAGAGGAAAAAAGAGAGAGTGAGACAGTAGACATACCGACTTTGAAACAGAAGACGACGGTCTAAAGCGGTTCTTAGAAAAAACCGTAACTAATCGACTAACTAGTTTGTCGGCTATACAAGATGCGAGCTATTAATAAATAAGATCGATTGTTTATATAACAAAATATGTCTATATACGCATATAAAGATATATATATATATATATACTTGTGTGTGTGTGTGTGTGTGTGCTGTGTGTGTATGTATTTGTATGGATGTATATATTTATTCAATTTGTATGTATTTGTATTTTTATGTATTTGTATGGATATATATATTTATTCAATCATTTTAATTATCATTACAATATTGGCTAAAATTATCATCATCGCCATCATCGTCGCGGCCATCACGTCGTCGTCATCGTCATCATTTTGTCATCATCATCATCACCACCACCACCATCACCACCACCACCATCACCACCACCACCATCATCACCACCACCATCATCATCATCATCACCACCACCATCATCATCATCGTCATCACCACCATTATCATCATCATCATCATAACGACCATCATCATCATCAAAATGTACATCATCGTCGTCATCGTCATCATCATCAGAAGTACTGTGGCGATAATGAATTGCGTTTTCTCCTGTAATTACTAACGAAACATGAGTTAGTAGGGAGTGCAGAAAATTCGAGAGAGACACAAAGAGAGAAAAAGAATGGAAGAGACAAAGTGAGAGAGAGAGAGATTGAAAAAGTACAAAAAGATAGGAAGAAAATTTGTCGTAAGAAGAAAATGACGGAGACCAAATAATTTGAAAAGTTAATCGAAAAAACTGGAAAGATTGAGAGAAGGGTATAAAATTAAGGAGAGGTAAGAAAGAGAGAAAGAGAAGAACAGAAAGAGAGAGAGAGAGAGAGAGAGAGAGAGAGGGAAAATGAATAAGTTCATAAGGCAAGGTAATAATACGCCTATACATTATAACATAAATAACAAGCGAATGAATGCACGCATTAAAAATTGAATTCCTAAGCCAGAGGGGGTGATGATGAAGATGATGAGAATGATGATGTTGTTATTATTATTATATTTTTAAAAATCGTTAATAATATCATCGGTAATGATAATTAATAACGAAATTATCATCATTAACATAAGATCATAATCTAACGAGAGAGAGAAAGAGAGAGAGAGAGAGAGAGAGAGAGAGAGAGAGAGGGAGTGAAAGGGAGTGAGAGGGAGTGAGAGGGAGAGTAAGAAAGAAAGAGAAAAAGGAATGACTTTTATGATTTTCCCTGTAGTTAAATATTCATTAGCTTCTACTTTTTATTATCAATGAATGAATGACTCTTGCCCTAAGATCAAAAAAATGCGATATACGCAACAACGAACACGCTTGCACACACAAACGCACGAACACACACAAATACACATACACACACACACACACACACACAAGTACACCAAGTACACATAAATATATATACACACAAATACACAAACACGAACACACACAAATACATACACACACACACACACAAAGTGGAAAATACTACTACATAATTGCCTTTATAATTTATTATAATTGAGAAGAGGCCAAACTGAGATAAAAATCTTAATAAAAAAAGAACAATAATTATGAATAAATAATAATATAATAATAATAATATTATTATTATTATTATTTTTATTTTTGGCGTTAGTGATTAATGTTCTATTTTATCTGCTGATTGTTAGGTGCAGCAGTGTTTTTTGACTGACTGATTGACTGAAGAATGAATAAATGATTGAATGAATGAACAATGAATGAATGAATAATGAACGAGCGAACGAAAGAACGAATAAGTGAATTATTAAAAAATGCATTAGACGGACTGTTTGAATTAACTGAATAAGTGAATTAAAAATTGACTGACTAAATGAATAAAAGAATGAATGAATGAATGAATGAATGAATGAATGAATGAATGAATGAATGAATGAATGAATGAATGAATGAACGAATGAACGAATGAACGAAAGAAAGAATCAGCAAGTCGATAGACAAACGAACAAACGAACAAATAAAATAAATGAAACAGACTATAATGCCTAGACAAATAATAAAAAATATTAGTTAATAGTCATAATTATATTTTAAAAATAATGAATTATTTTGATAAATAAATAATTATGAATAAATAAATAATAATACAAATGGTATTCTCTTAAATATTAATCACCTTATCTATTTCTTCATCGCTAGCTAACTTGAAAAGCCCCTTTTGAAAATTTTCATACAATTCGCGCCAAAACAAATGATCGGTCGTGACGTCATAAAGGTACTTCTCCGCTTTTATCATATCCAGTACTTCCTCCAAAGACAATGAATCGTCTAAAATTTGTTTGTATTTTGAAATCTTCGGTGTCGTTAGTTGTTGTTGTTGTTGTGGAGTGTTCGAAGATGACGTCGTAGTAGTTGTTGTTGTGCTGTTGTCAGCTGTTGTTGTTAGTGGTACCGGTGTTTCTTCAGCTGTCAGCTGTTGTTGTAATGTTTGCTGTGCTTTTTGTGTTGTTGTTGCTATTTGCTGTGATGATTGTTGTGTCGTTGTTGTTTGCTGGGTTGGTTGTTGAGTTGTTGTAATTTGCTGTGTTGTTGTTGTTGATTGTGGCAATGTTTTAAGAGAGGGCACAGAATTGTTGGAAGTCAACTGCGTCTGTTGCGGATTGGGTTGCGGTTGTAGTTGCGTTTGATTAGTTTTCGGCGAGTTTTTGTTGCCATTTTGTTGAAGAACGTGTTGAGGAATGGAGTGAACAGACGACGAATGGCGAACATTGTTGTCAACATTGTTGATGTTAACAACGGGGACGTCAGACGTCGCAAGGGAATTGTGTCTACCGATGTTGACGCTCTGTTGCAAGTTACTCTCAACATTTTTCTTCAACTTACTTCCGTTGTTGTTGTTGGAAATGTTGTTGTTGTTGTTGTGAGACTGATGATGCGTGCTGCTACTGCTGCATGTCGTTCCTGTTAGCTGCTCTAACCTTTCCTTTAAACAATCAAAGTCCATACATTCCAATCTCTTTTGCATCGAGGCTAGGCTGCCTAGGTCTGACTGTCGACGTCTGCCCAGTTTCGCGACGTTCATCCCCATGCTTGTTGCTATACTGGCGATCTGTTGATTGATTTGCTGCGGTTGTTTTTGTTGTTGTTGTTGCGGTTGTGAAACGACAACAGTTGTGGCTGGAAGGATGTGTTGCTGGGTGTGGCTGTCGTACGCTGTTATTTGATGTTGTTGTTGTTGCTGCTGCTGTTGTTGTTCGTTGTTAACCACTGGTAACGTTGATGTTGTCGTTGAAAATGTTTCAACCGTAGTCGCAACATTGTTGCCGGCTTGTTGAGCAACAAACTCAACCAAGGTAGATGTCTTAGGGGCAGTCGGTGTGACAGCATTCAACCTCAAAGAACCACGAGACAGGCAGAACTTTCTTAAGTTTTCTTTCATCTCAAATAAATTGAACCCTAACCCAGTTTTTGGGGGCATCTGGGTGTGCCCCAATCTTGGTGCCGACCTGTCTCTGACCTGAGCAGTCGGCGTGGGTAGTTGGGTGCATGACGTCAGGAGGCATATACTTGATCGTCTACGGTTGTTGTTGTTGTTGTTCTGAAAGTTGTCACGTTTGTTATTGTTGTTTAAAATGCTGTTGAAAAAAATGTCGTTGTTGTTGATGCTGTAGATGATGTTAATGTCGTTGTTGTCGTTGCTGCTGAAATGTGTGACGTGAAAGCTATTAATTTTGTCGTTGTCGTTGCTGATGTTCATTGAGTTATTTTTGTTGCTGAGTTGTTGTCGGAGGTTGTTTGCTGAGGGGAGTTTTGGTAAATTTAAGTACGGAATTTGTTGTTGCTGTTGATGTTGTTGTTGATGATGTGGCTGTTGTGGGATGTTGTTGTTGTTGGGATCGACAATGTTAGCAACAGCATCAACAACACTGTTGCAAGACTTGTAATTGACAGTTTCGTCGTCGTCATCGTAACTACTTAGGCTGTATTTGCCGCTGTCGTCACTAGCGCTACTACTTATGTTGTGTTTGCTTTGTTGTTGTTGATGATGTTGTTGTTGTTGTAGCGGTTGTATATGTTGTTGAGGGTGTACCTGTTGCTGCTGTTGTTGTTGTTGTTGTTGCTGTAAATTTTCTGCGTCTGTTATCTTTTTGTTGAAATGTTGTTGTTGCGATGCTGTTGCTCGGTTACCCTGTTGTTGCGCTTTATTCTCCTCGATAGTCGTAACGACAAATTTTTTTTTACTTTTTGAGAATTTATCGAATGGATTCGTGTTTTTAGCGTTAATTTTTGCGTGCTTCTCGTCCATGGGTTCTGTGGTAGACTGTTGTCGATGTTGTTGTTGATGCTGATGTTGTTGTTGTTGATGTTGTTGTTGTTGTTTTTGATGATGATGTTGTCGTGTATTTATACAATTGTTGATGAGGTTTTTGCTGCTGCTAATGATCACGTTGTTGTTGTTGTTGTTATTGTTAACTGTATCGTCTTTTTTATTGTTTACACTGTTGTGGTTGTTAATGTTATTATTATTATTGTTATTGTTGTTGTTGTCACGTTCAAAAGATGTATCAACTATCTCCATAAAGATTTGTTTCATAAAACTGAAATTAATTATTGGATGCATGGTTAAATGTATGAATGTATGAATGAACGAAAAACGAATGAATGAACGAACAAACAAACAGATGAATGAACGAACAAACAAATGAATGAACAAATGAACAAATAAATGAATAAATAAACAAATGAATGAACGAAAAGGTGCCTAAATAAATAATTGATTGATGGATCGAAAAAAATCAGGTTGATCGAATGACAGAATGATAAATGAGGTTGATGGATGAATGCTAGTGTGAAGAATGACGGATGGATGGATAGATGGATGGATGGATGGATGAATGGATGGATGGATAGATGGATGGATGGATGGATGGAGAGAGGGAGGGATGGATGGATGGATAGACTAATTGAAAAAAACGAATAAAAAAACGAATAAAAATCTCAAAAACATATTTTTATCGGAAAAAATTTTTGGGTACAATTTTTCAGACGGCGATTTTCATTACACCCATGAATGAAAAAAAATTTAAATAAATAAATAAAATAATATTTTGTCTGATAACATGAGCATAAAATGTTCTAATCATCATCATCCTCATCATCATCTTCATCATCATCATCATCTACTTCTCTTTCTTCTTCTTCCTCTTCATCATCATCATCATCCTTATTATCGTCGTTGTTATCATTATATCATCAGCGCTATCACCTTCATCATTAGTCTTTCTTGTTTGCTTGATCGTCTGTCTGTTTCTCTGTGTGTCTGTCTGTCTGTTTTTCTGTCTGTCTGTCTGTTTTCATTATACTCTCTTTCATCATCGTAGTCGTCATCATCATCATCACCACCATCATCATCACAATCATCACCAGTATCGTCATCATAATCACTACCGTCGAGTAAAATTATTCAGAATTCAGAAAAATTATGAATTAACATAACGCAACACTTTTAAAATAATAAGTTCTGCCATTTATTTTTATTTGTATTATCGTTATTATTATTTGTATTATTATTGCTATTATTATTATTATCATCATTTTTACACATCATTCTATATTGTGGACCAATGTTATTACGAGAATTTCGATGATAATATTGTGGATTATGATATCAAGAATGATATTAAAAATGATACGATGACGATGATACTCTGATGATGATACGACGACGATGATAACAGTTATAATGATAAAGACAACGACAAAGATCCTGATAATGATGATGATAATGATAGAGCTGATGATGATAATGACGCTGATGATGACGATCCTTATTTTATTACTCTTCGGCTGGCTCGTCGCTTTGTCTAGTCCAATTATTTTCTGAATAATTGATTAATTAAACCATAAATTGCATTAGTACTTCCACTGCAGCTTTTGTGGCTTTTGTAGTTGCTTATTTGCAGTAGCTGTAGTAGTAGCAGTAGAAGCAACTGTAGTAGTAGTAGTAGCAGCAGCCAGTAGCAGCAGAAGCAGCAGTAGTAGCAGCAACAACAACCGCAGCAGCAGAGCAGTAGCAGTAGCAGCAGCAGCAGAAGCAGCAGCAGCAGCAGCAGTAGTAGCAGTAGTAGCAGTAGTAGTAGTAGTAGTAGTAGTAATGTTTACAGAATCATTTAATTCCTTGGAATGATTGAAATAAGAAAATTGTCAAGAATTTAATCAGTATTACAAAAACGAAACATCATTTTATTACTATTATTATTATTCTTGCGGTTGTTGCTATTGTTGTTAGTATTCTCGTTT